TTATCAGGATGTTCAATGAAAAATGCTTTAATTTGCGTTGTGAAAAATCCTTATTCTGATGTAAACAAACGATTTGGTTGACATTTCCTCTCGAACTTGCAAGACGCACTCTACGTTGGTGGTGAATTAAAAGGCCTATTAAGAATTTACCATGATCAACAATTTGCTTTGATCGACAATCTGCCCTTTGATCATAGATTTGCCTTGATCAACAATTTGTTCTGATCAACGATTTGCCATATACGGTTACGGTAGAATAAAGCAAATACACAATGTATAAATGATAATCAAAAGGCGAGTTTTATTTTATAGCATGAACTTAAGAAAAAACCGATTAATTTTCTTTGTTTCATTTCCAGGGTGTCGACACAATGAAGAAAACCAAATTCCCTAATAAACCATGATTTTCCAGTGATAAAAAAAAATCCGGGTACAGTGCGTATTGTATCTAGATAGCCCTTTTGAATAACATTCATTTGCTAAAAAAAGATCGAAAATCGCTTCAGTAGTTCAAAAGTTATGAATTTTCGAAGTTGGGTATATAGGCAAAAACGACGATTTTTTGAACCACCCTAACTCCTCAGGAAGGTTCTAAGGGCAAAATCAAAAAAATCCGGGGCTAAATTTGTTTGATAAGAATTGTGCAAGGCTGGAGCGAAATCGGAGCCGATTTCACATTTCACTGAAAATTCCAATGATTTTACAAAATCACCCCTTACTACACCTCGGTAACCATACCAACCAAAGCAAGTACGACAAGAGACAGCTAGGAGCCTACTGTCAATAGACAACCGGTGGTGTTTCACTACTTTCCGCCATCCTGCCAGCAAGCTTTCTCACCTAGCAGGTATCCTCCCCTCATCGTCATCATCATCATCGACACGCATAAAATGCGACAATCGGCAAGCTCCTTGTTATTATTCTGACGGTAGCTCAGCTATTAGGGAGGCTGAAAATAGCTGCCCCCTGTGAGATAAACAGCGGAACGAATACCCAATAAACGAGACGATATTCGTTTGACAGGCACACCGCGCCGTCGTCCAATCCATTCCGAGATGCCATTTAGGTTAGTTAGACCTAGGTAGGTACAGCAAAGCTAGCACAATTTTCTTCCCAAGTTCCAACGAGCCAAATAATGGATGGGAAAGCCGGAGAAAATATCCGCAATAACAAGCTGCTGCCACACGAACACCATCCCCCCCCCCCCTGTTGGGAGTGGGAGGGAGTATACATCTCCAAGGCTACCACCACCCTGGAAGAAAGCGGAATTGCTCAGAGGTGAGTGGAGCGGGGTGGGGTGTTTCTAAAAATAGATCTGCCCGATTCCAGCACACAGCGATGAGGAGGAGGAGGAGGAGGATGAGGACGACATCGACGACTCGCCGCCCATTAAAATCGATTACTTTGGTCTAGTTGTGTCAGTGTCGACGGAAGAGAGAGCTGGGCTTCCCGCTCCAACTGAAAAGTGAAGCTTGTTTGGTGGAGTTTGGAGAGATGGGGGTTGAATATTAGACTGGTTCGAAGAATTTGGACTCGATGGACCCAAGTACCTAAAAAGTCTTATGATTTCAAATGTTCTGCTTTGATCAATTCTCTCCATCGACTTTGCGGTATGTTTACCACATAGTTGGCTAAAGGAGGTTCTTATCTAGCGTCCAAAACGTCAAATGCTACAGGGAAAGGTTTTGCAGCTGAGTTATCAACGAAAGAGAAAGTCGATGAAGAGAATTGATCAATGCAGATAGGACATTTTGGAATGTTTATCTAGAATTGGACTGTTGTGAAGGTTAGGAAACTATGTAGAATTGCATCAAATTTTAGAGAAATTCAGTTCACTTTGTAAAATCTCAGCAAATTTTGTAGAAACTCAGTGAACGTGATAGAACTTCAGATAATTTTGTAGAACTTCAGCACTGCCTATAATCGCATATCAGTCCCATATGGGTTTTCATCAATTTTGAGATAACAACGCTATCCACTATCAATTGGCATCTACTTTCATTTTATGAGATAAAACTATGGACTTTAATCATGAAAAATATGAAAACGACATCTAGTCAGTTTGCCTTGAAGTAATCGCATATCAGTCCCATCCTGAAATTCAATCGTCCATAGTTCAAGTGAAAGTTCTGCTTTTCGAATTGCCATATTTTTCGCAGATATAACATAACATGCAAGCTTCATTGAGACATGTTTTAACTTGAAAAAAATATCAATAAATTTACTCTGATTTTTCAAACATTTACATGAGAATTGCACTTCGTAACTTCGACTGACATTTTCTCAATGCCTACTTCTTTCCATATCTACGATCTTCATACAGGATTGGTTGTCTTCCCAGACGACTATGGGATTTGTTTGAGACTGCTGCAAGTCCCCGAGAAGTTTCCGGAACCACATGAGCTGCCGACATCCGTCCGCCAGTGCGACGAATTCGGCCTCCGTTGAGGACAACGCGACACACGATTGCTTTCGTGTTCCCCCGTCGACAAGACCGCCACCGAACTTCAGCAGGAAACCGGAATGAGACTTCCTGTCGCCTTCGTCGCCGGCCCAGTCGGCATCCACAAAGCATTCCACTTCGTCGGATCCGGGACCCAGGTGCAAACGGTGGACGTTCGTAGCTCTCAGGTATCGGAGGGTTCTCTTGGCTTCGGTCCAATCGCGGTTGGTAGGATTGGTGACCTTCCTTCCCAGCAGTGAAAGGGCCACGCAAATGTCCGGCCGAGTGTTGACCGCGACGTAGAGCAAACTGCCCACCAAACTGCAGTATGACGTGTTTGTAGGCAATTCATGCTCCTCCTTTTGCTTGAGGTATCCGGGGTCAATTGGCACCTTCGATGGCTTTGCCTGGTCCTGTCCGAATCGACGAATCAGCTTGTCGATGTAGCTTGCTTGATCGAGAGTGTAATGATCGCCATTCATCTTCACGTGAATTCCCAGGAAGTGCTTGAGTTCGCCTAGGCAGGAAAGCTTGAAGTGTTTCTGCAGCTGTCGACGAATCTGCGCGAATTCTTCCTCGGAGTTGCAGACGACGACCATATCGTCGACGTATAGCAGGATGCACGTCTGTTTCCCGTTGCAGTTCCGGATGTACAGACACGCATCGACGTTCGTCTGTTGGAAACCCATGGACTTATTCCATGCTCGAGCGGACTGCTTGAGCCCGTAAATGCTGCGCTTGAGATGACATAGCATACCGTTGTCTTGAACGAAGCCAGGCGTTTGCTTCATGTACGTGTCCTCATGCAGGTCCGCGTACAGGTAGGCGCTCTTTATGTCGAGCTGCTTCACCAACACCCTCTGCTTGCTGGCCGTTCGAAGGGATTCTGACGAACGACGGGGGCGAAAACCTCGTCATAGTCCTGGCCGAATTTCTGTGCGAAGCCTTGTGCGACTAATCTCTAATGCATTATAATATAGGTACCATCGCCTGGAAATGCTTTCGGCAACGTGGAGCTTTAGGTAGTGATAAACGTCTCTAGAACTATTACACAGCCGAAGTCAGTACAGTCAACTTTCGCTCGTTGGGCTAAACCCATAGCCCACTCAGTGAAAGGCTTTCGTTAGTTGGGCTGAGCTGTCAAAGCTGAAAATTGCTTGCAGATACATCGATTGCCTATTATCATCAAAACCGTTTAACAACTATCCAAATTGTTCATCCATGAGCCCCTCGAAAATAAATCTGCAATGTCAGAAATGACGTTTGACTTCGATTTAGGTGGGTTAAAGCCCAACTAATGGAAGCCAAACTAACTAACGCGTACTCTTTTACCCGTGGAAGTACCTCAAATCCCCTCACCCATCAAGTGAGTTAGGCAAAGGAGTACGCGTTTGATTAGTATTGTCGCATTAATAACCCTTCGCTCAGTTTCAACTTCTGTTTAATTTTCACACTGCCGTGCTCTAACGGAACTATCAATCTATCTTCTACTGGTTGATATTAGTATAGCATTTCCTACCAACTCTGAAAAAAAATTCCTCGATGTGCTGAGATTTTTTTAAGTTTAAAGAAAATTCGATGTTGGTCGAATTGACAGAAATTGGATAACAACACTATTTGGATACTACAACGGAACTTGGAAGCAGTTGATGAATCTAGAGCGAGCCACATTTTTTCCTAGAAGACATGTTACAGTAGTTGTGATAAAGGAATTAATTTGGCGTTGCGACCTAAGCAGCTTTTACATTTGGGGTTGTGCTCAGGTGTAACTGGATAAAAAGTTACCAAGTAAGTGGAGTAAAAGTTACCAATTCCTAACACTGAACCTAGCGCACCGTAATTTTTTCTTCTCAGAAAAACTTTTTCTGAATCTGTGATAATTTTGAATTTGTAGGTAATTTTACCCAAAATATGGACCCTGGCATACCACGGAATAGTCTCCTGGAAGTACCGTAGAGGTGACCAATTCATGAAACTGACTTCAAAAAGCCTCGATGTTTCAAAAACGCTTTGAAAAAATTAAATTGTTTTTTATCCAAAGTCTGCCCGCGCACCGTTGCAGTCGAACCAGCCTAGTTGCTACTCTCGCCGTTGTTGCAACGGCATAAGAGCAAAAAGCGCGCGGGAGCACTAAAACAAAAGAACAAAATGTGTTTATTTAGCCGTGTCCGTGTGTCCAAAGTTATTGCTGCCGTCCCATGCATCCATTCGTGCCAAGTCCAAGTTTGAGGTTGCGTGACATGTGTTTCTCCGCCTCCTCCACCCCCATACAGTCTCATATACACGAAGATGCATATGTATTTATCGACGGACGAGCCATTCTTTGCTGGTAGCAAGAAATTGGGTGGAAAATTTTGTGCCGCGATTCGTCCGTCCTATTATCGGCGGTGGTGATGGTCCACAACACCCATCCGGGGACCCCCAGAAGGAGGCTACTCAGAACCCAGTGCGCTGGTGGGATGTGATTATGTGCATATACGTGTACAACGCTGTACATAGCAGTGCTCTAGGGCAGTAGGTTTTTCGGGCCAAGGGCTCCAATGGAGAATGTACTTACCGTGTCGATTAAGAAAATGCCCTCTAGAGCCGTCCATTCTGGCCAGGATGACGAATCACTGAAACAAGAGCGAGACGAACGAAGGAACATTTCAGAATTGAGAACTACAATCAAATTGCAGCAGGTTGGTTACCTTTAGTAAGGTCCTCCGGTAAAGATCATCGTTCCTAGAGCTTCACGTTCCACTGATAACCACTTCTTCTCTCACCACAGGACCATCATTCTAACTCGCTGCCCACCAATTCTAAACAAACCCGCTGAACACTAACTAGTTCACTGCATCATTAGTAGCGACACACTCTCACGAACACTGTAACACTGATATTTAAAAATTACAACTCTGCAACATTCTTTATATTTAAATTGATACGACTGACTGCTTGCTGCTGCTGCTGTTGCTACTGATGATGATGATGTTCCCGTTCTCTACCAAAGCAATGCGAGATAATAACCACCAGCACTTTCTGGTAATGACGACTGATGGATTCGTTACGTTATTGTGCCACTATCAAGAACCACCGATTCTTCACCATCAATTTAGCATTCCCGCAAACCAACAAAACTACCGTACACAACCCTGAGGAATTTCTTCGGGTAATCTTCTGGCTAGCGGCACCTAGCGCACTCCAGCAAAACAACCCATAAAACTGGTTCACGACGAAGACGACGACGACAAATCCGATCCTGACTCAGAGCGCTCCTTCGTTGTGATTGTGGGGCCGATTTCCGATCCCGAACTGAACTGACTTTCCTGACCGCAATTGACCACCGGGAACCGGGAATATTACTCCAAATCTCCGAAATCGAATTATTCCTTTTTGTGCAGTAAAAAAATAAGGCTCGAAACGACACTATCCCTACATCTAAAGCAGGTATTAAATTTTGTGTTTTTATGATCGTCCTCCTTCGCCGCAAGAACAACTTGTTCGTTCGCTCATCACCGCGAGCACTTTTTTGACAGATAACAAATTCCGCGAGTCGGTCACTCACCAAACCAAGCACATCAGCCAGCGATTGCCGTGAGTGGCGGGAAGGGATGCCAGGTGCTTTTGGAAATGATCTGAATGAACCAAGAAATTACGACTTGTACGGTAGAACAATTTTATTATGTATAAAAAATAAGCATCGCTTAATCCTTCACTATTTTAAAATAGATCTATTAACCTTTCATTGGAGATATGTTTAAATTTTTCGTCCAATCATAGGGGATCTCAAAAAATCAAATTGAAATTCTTCAAGCATTCCAGATTTTTTTCAGGTTTAAACTTTTGGCAGGTTTTTAATTTGACTCTCCCAGAAAAATCTACTGTAGATAAAAGTTTAAAAAGATGCCTATAAACATTAGCTTTGATTAATATATCTAATTTTGATGACATTCTAGTATCTATTCGGGAAATCAGTAACTTAAAATAAACAATAGGATAAAAGAGCCAGTTATTGCGAAAAATGTTATTGCTATTGCAAAGATGGTCAATTTAACTCTAAGTTTCATTCGTGATACTTATCGGGTCAAACTGCTATTTACAAAATTGTAAAAAATTCAAACCACCTTAACGCCAGCTAACATCATGTTTTTCTTCAACCAAAATTACAGAAAGTTGAGTTACTTTTTATTGCTCAACGGTTGATTTTGACGTAGGACTACGTCTGTGCTTTCTATATGGGGGTACACTTTGTGAAAACCGAAAATGGAATATGTAACAAAATAAAGAAAGATTTTGAACGTTAATAACTTAGCTGCCCCTGAACCAATTTCAAAAGTTTTATCATAAATCGATCAGAAATATTTCTACGTATCTGTTAAATTTAAGACTTAATCATTTTTCAAAATGTCACAATTGAAAATTGCACGAATGTGCAACTGTTACTGTGATAATTAAAATTATCACCGATTGCCGGCAAAACGCGATTTCCCTAACACAGATTTCAAAGTTGAATTCCATCCGGTCTCACCAAACGGTGTTTATTCAATCACCGAGTGGTGCGTGTTGGTGTTCTCCAGTACACAACGAAAGCCTGCCTGCAAGCAGCGAGCTACAGCCCACATGAGCATCCATAGAACGAGGAAAAACCCGCATCGTTATTGATCGTAATCAGTAGCTCTTCGTGAGTCGCTGTGGGCCATCTATGTCAAGCGCGACATACTATAGAGTATAAACAGGGAGAACCCCACTAAAATTCCTATTCCTACACAAACCACAAGCTCCTGCTGCAGTTAACAAATAAGAGTTATAATATAAGACCACGTAGTCCTACGTCACCATTGCGTACAACCCGATAGGGCTGTCCCTTGTAGTTTTTAATGATATTATCAAGTCTTTTAGTTCTAGTATGGGAAGAAGTAAGGTCACTGTAGTAGATAAAGTTAGTGTGGAATAAAGAATGAGTAGAATCGAGTGAGCGTGAAGTGTGATAGACCGTATGTAAACTGAATATCATTGGTTCGAGAATGTTGCTAAGCTTGCAGCTATAAATATGAGGTACCTAAGCTCGTTGACGGCAAGACCAATTGTAATCGATTAACAAAGATCATTCAGGCCAGGATGGTGGATTTTCAGAAATAACGATTTTGCTAGTAAGATCCGCTCTCTCCCAGATTGTGCTAAGCCCTTCTGGAAACTTACAAAAATTCTTAAAAACAAGCCTAGGCCCATTCCCCCACTGACCCCACTGGATCGTCCCGGCGACCCAGTGGTTCATCTGATAACTCCTGAAGAGAAGGCTGCCGCGATAGGTCAACACTTCGTCAGCTCCCATAATCTCGGACAAAACATCGTCAGCCCTCATGAATCTGAGGTTGCTGAAAATGCAACCAATCTTCTTCAGATTCCTAACATTTTTCCAGAGGAAACCGAGATTACGGCTGACGAACTGTTGGTCTATATCAAATCATCTAAAAACATGAAGGCCCCAGGTTTCGACAACATCCTGAATCTGGAACTCAAACACTTGAGTTTCAGATTCTACAACCATCTGGCACTGATTTTTAATCAGTGCCTCAGACTTGGCTACTTCCCCTCGTGTTGGAAGTCAGCTAAAGTCATACCCATCCGGAAACCTGGGAAGGATCCGTCCTCTCCTTCAAGTTATCGACCAATCAGCCTTCTCTCAGGGTTATCAAAACTGTTCGAAAGAGCACTGTACCACCGGCTCCCAACATCTGCCGATGAAAACAACTTGTTACTCGAGGAACAGTTTGGTTTTCGGAAAGGTCGTTCGACCGTCCACCAGCTGACTCGAGTAACAAACATTCTCAGACGGAACAAGTCTGTTTCGAAAACATCTGCCATGGCGTTGTTGGACGTTGAAAAAGCATTCGACAATGTCTGGCATGATGACCTGGTGTTCAAATTGTAGCAGTACGGTCTTCCAATCTTCCTAGTGCAGATAATAAACAACTATATATCAGACAGAACGTGCCGAGTCTCTCTGAATGGCATCACATCGGATGCTTTCAACATCGGTGCCGGGGTTCTACAAGGAAGCATCCTTGGCCCCATCCTATTCAACCTGTTCACCTCCGATATGCCGGCTCTCCCTGATGGTGGATCGTTGTCTCAGTTCGCAGATGACACATCCATCGTCTACAAGGGTAGGGTCATCGGAGCTCTGACTGCCAAACTTCAGAGAGGCCTGGACGTCCTGTCTGAATATTTCAACAGCTGGAAGATCCGTATCAACGCGGCAAAGACCCAGGTCATTATCTTTCCACACTCTAAATCTCCTAGACTTGTTCCGTCGGAGAATAACAAGATCTGCCTGAACGGCACAGTGGTGGAATGGTCCAAAGATGTCGTGTACCTCAGGCTAAAGGCCGGCGCACAATAGATACGTTTTCAGGTTTTTTGACAGTTAGCCCATGCATTATCTGTCAAAAAACCCGAATACATATGCATTGTGCGCCGGCCTTAACACTAGACAGCAAGCTTCTTTTCAGGGAGCACGTTGACAAAACAAAAACCAAGTGCAACATCTTGATAAGATCGTTGTATCCACTTATCAACAGGAAGTCAACCCTGTCCCTGAAAAATAAGCTTGCTGTCTACAAACAAATCATCCTTCCTGTAATCGAGTACGGTATGCCAATCTGGGAGAGTTGCGCAAAATGCCATAACCTTAAACTCCAAAGGATCCAGAACAAGATCCTTAGGATGGTCCTAAACAGTCCCCCGCGGACTAGAAATTCTGAGATCCACTTCCTGGCTGGAATTCAAACATTAGAAGAACGGAGAGTATTCATCCTGGAAAGGTTCAGAGACACCTGTCTGAGATCAAATCGTCAGATCATACGTGATCTAGCACGTTAGGTTAAGTTATACTCGTAGTTAGGTAGGTTATCACTTTTTTCAATTCAAATAAAACACATCCCCAAAGGGATATTCTGTAAACTAGTTGAAAAGCGCAAATATTAAATTAGAATGTCAAATTAAACAAAGATGAAGAGCCAAGTAGCACATAACCAAAGATATTTCATTAACAAGATATCCCACAAATCAATTCCTCGAACAAGGCAATGGATACACCACCCTTATGTGATCGCAGTGCCATCTCGTGAGTGCACATTGAAACTGTTGGGAGTCTCCCGCCAACTTCACCACCAGGGCTCAATAAATGACAGGTGTCAGTATGACATATGCCAGCGTGGACGTTGATGATCAGCCGAGGGAAAAGGATGATCGATGTTTATATTGCGATAGCAAGATTTCCACTTCGTTATGATTGCATCCATTTTCAATAATTACCACGTTATACGCATCAGAAAAGCTTGAGAAAACAATAATAAATGCAGATACATCCCTTCGAAAAAGTAATCGAGAATTCAGTGCCAACATTTCAAAGGGGCGTAATTGCATTTGTAAACAATGGCTTTAGTCGTCGATTTCTCGCGAATAAAAGCTCACTCATGAAAAATAATGACACCAGCAGGTAGAGGAATGTTTCCTCTACCAGCTAGCATTGTAATTTTGGAGAGGTAAGATTTCATTCGTGAGAAATTGACGGCTAAAGTCATTGTTTACAAAAGCAATTACGCCCCTTTGAAATGTTGGCACTGAATTGATGATTTATGAAGCTGTTGCTCAACATAATAGAAGTTGCATAGAAGTATACATGAAAAAAACGCAACGTATCGAAATCATTGCTAAACAAACGAAATAAAATATGCCGTCTTCCTTGGCCAACGCTGCACGCTTTTGGCTATTCGAAAATTACGTTGGAGTAATGATTACTTTTCTATTTTATAAAGAAGGTATTTTTCAATGACGGCGAATGAAATCGTAAACTGAAGCTGCCGAAGCTGAGTGATGACGATGAGTGATGACACCGCTTCGTGTTTTGATTTGCGCTGTACCCTCCGCTCAGTGGTGTGGGTTCGTACATGTATAGATGATGGTGTGCTTGTTTTCTTCCAACGCTGCAGTTCAACCATGTACTATGACGAGCACCTCAACGGTGATGCAGCAGAAAACGAAGGTGGTACGGCAACAGACCTTGGAGCACGCGTAGAAGACGACAGGCTACCGGCCCCTGATCTTCAAGAAGTTGAGGAGGAGATCGGTCGGCTGAAGAACAACAAAGCAACTGGTGTAGATCAACTACCAAGTGAGCTATTAAAATACGGTGGTGAAGCACTGCTGCACTGGGTAATTGCCAAGATTTGGAAGGAGGAGATATTACCGGAGGAGTGGATGGAAGGTGTCGTATGCCCTAGAGTCGGTGTATAATGAGTCACGCCTATAGTCGCTATATTCATAGTCTGGCGGATAGAATATCAGGAACCAATTGAGCTGTCAAATAGCGGAACCAATCGAGCAAATCACGACCAACAATAGAAAAGAACACATCAGCTATTGCGAACAAAACTTTGGTAACCGTTTTCTCGTGATTCAAGGCTCGCCTACGCAAACTAACACTATCTTTGGGTTT